AAAAATTAAAGTAGTTTCCTTTAGTTTTTATATAATAAGTTCTTTCAAAAAACTTTTATATTTACAAAAAATATGTTTTCTTTTTTCTCATTTTCTTCATTTCATATTCTCTAATACTCTTTCATTTACTCAAGACTATTCGTTAGTAAAAATTTCCTTTCAAAGTCTTTTGTAAAGAAAAACAAAAAAAACTTTTCGCAACAAGGAAGTCCTGTTGTAATTGTTAACTTTTAGTCAACAAACTTACTTTTGTACTTACACACAACTGTGGCATTTTGTTCCTTGTCAACACCATTCCACTCATCTTTTCCGTTGATAATGTGCAGTCCATCTACACTGGGACAACAGCCGTCCGGCTGGCCTTCGAGCCAGTTATCTGTATATGAAGAAGGTACAGGCCAAGACCACAGTTCATCAGCAAGCCTCAGCGAAGCCCAATAAGAATTTCCCATTGTTACTTCTGGAAGTCAAATTATGAAAGATGGTTGAGATTCGCTTGTTTATCCCTAGTAAGAATGCTGCAGCAAAGAAAGGACAGCTATCCTGTTCCACAACGTAGCAGAGTAGCCAAAAGAAGTGCTCTATAAAGTGAGCAAAAAAGTCCTTACTTTTTATTGCTAAATTTTCTGTTTTAGAATCGAGCCACAAAACTCGTGAACCTTCTGCCATACAAATTGCTTCTGCTTCTCGCAATGTGTAGTTATAAGGGTACTGAAACCTTTAGCGAATTCTTCGTTGGTTCAGTTGTTCAAGTCAAAAATTTAAAGAAAATCGTTTACGAAGAATGTAGAACTGCAGAGACAAAGGTCATGAAACTATTTTTTATAAGAACTGATTTCGGTGAAACTCGAAAATTCCGTCGTACGTTTCAGAAAAAATGTAAAATTTTTCTACCTTTAGAAATCAAACTTCACTGTTTTTCTGCCAAAAAATTTGAATAGTCACTTCACACTTTTAATGCGCGAAAAAATGATAAATTTGAAAATTTAAAATTGAAATAATTTTTAAAAGTTGAAATAGTTTTACGCTAAAGTGCGCAAAATTGGCTGCAGTAGAACCATAGCAAAATTTTGACTTGTCACACATTTTCAAAAACACCAAGGTTTTTAGAGAAATGAGACGTACAAACTTATAGCAATACTCTGCAAGCTCAAAAAAGCCCGGTCTGCAGTACTTCTGCACTGAAATAGCTGTGAATAGAGAAATGAAAATGGCGTACGGAATGATCATTGGTAGTCACTCTAAGCCCGTTTCGTATGATTACTCAATTCTTAAAAAAAAATGAGGCATTTTCTTCGGAGAAATAAAAAGTTGTACGATAACAGCGATACATTTTTTGTGTTTTACGATTCTACACCATTATTAGCTGAATCAACAAAGAACACTCACCATCCAATTGGCACAGATAAGGAAAGTGGTCCGTGCAAGATTTTATTTCATATTTTTTACTCTTGTTACTTACTCCACAGTTGTAGCTATAAACTAATTTGGTTTTATGGGTCAAATCCCATAATTCTTCTAGGCCCTTTAGCCCTTCCAAGTCCGCTGCATCAGCTTTTTCCCTGTAATTCCAAAGCCAAGCGCCGTTCCATCTTCGTAAACCCACCCAAAAAGTTGTAGTATTGACGTAATCTGGAACAAAAATTGATTTAATTGTCTTCCAGAAAGCAACACATCTTTTTTTAGAATTTCTTTTATCAAAAAATTAAATGGGGGACTTTAAGCCAGAAAAGATTTCAGAAGCAGCATTATTTGTGAAGGTCAAGAACTCCACACTCGGTCATTGCTCCTATAACAAGTTGCGCAAAATTTCCAAATTTACGTTCTATGCATTTCCTCTTCTTTGTAAAATAAGTACATTCGTTTACTTACTACAAATTGATTTCACAGGTAACTTTTTTGTTTTCTCTTTCTTTTATAGAAGTAAGTTTAATGCGACCTGCTGACGAGTTCCACGGGCAAATCGTAAGTCGCTTATCATAGGGCTGGGGGATTTTCAAGTATAGCCGGAGCATTTGCTTAACGTATAGATGTGCTCCTCTTCTCTTCAACCGACAAAGGATTCCTCTCAAGCTCTGCCGCGAATCTTTTCATGAGATGCTCTTTCAGAATTTTTGCTGGTATAAATCGGTTTTGGAGCTGGATCTGGAGAATTTATATCGGCATATGGTGTCGAAATTTTGGCTTTTGACTGCTGTGCCGGCGGAAAGTATTTGACCATTTAAACACGGAAGGTTCAGAAGTGCCAACATTCCGACGCTTGTTCAGGGTGAACACGTGCTTGTGCAATGCCTCATTAGCGTTCTGGAAAGCTTAGGGAAGCTGGTGAGCCTTACAAATAGATTCGAAGTAAGATTTAGCAGAGCCTCTCAATAATTTTTTAATAAAGAGGCAATCCGACAAAGTATGAGTAATAGGTTAAAGTACCGAAGAAAGTACAATTTTTGTCTAACATTATTAGAACAAAGGAAGTAAAGTTCATTGCGTGATATGATACTAGACTTTTGCCCGGTCATGTTTGCAGGAAAGCGGTTGCGAAATTTACGTGGAGTTGAAAGAGAGGAGAATGATGGCTGTGAGAAATTGCTTTTTTTAGATCTTTTAGGCTTTAGATTCCCAAAAAATTACAGTGGGTGCAAAGAGCTATTTATAGTGCTGCGCTTTCTTTTGGCGTAATCTGTTAAAAAGCCGGCGCCGCAGTGTCGGCCTTTAAAGCCTAAACGTGATGAGAAAACGTTTTATTTTTTTAGAACTATAATGTTTGGTTCTTTCGAGTCTATACTGTGCGCAGACACGTAGGTTCACCTATAGTCTTCTGATACGAATTTCCTTCTGTGAATGCTGCCAGCATGCCACCTTCTACCTTGCATTGCTTGTCGGCGCTGTCCCATGATTTAGGGTTTGTAAACTGAAATTTGGTAAGAAAGCTGTTTGTATAATAAAATTCTAAATTGTCGTTTTAATTGAGTGAATAACATAAATTGGAGAGTAAAACGAATATGTGAGATATGACGACCCAAAAGTAAGGGTCTTGCTGTGCATTCAAACCTTTTCACTCAGCAGAAATAGTTTTTCAGAAATATCACTTTGTAGCTAAAATAATTTACTTTTATTTTAATGTTAACCTTTTTTTATATAGTATTTCATATTTTATGCGATGGTGACAAAAATTCAAAGAATTTGTTTTTTACTTAACTTTCTTGATGAAAGTCAGGTTCTTTCTAAGCTTAAGAAAAATGTAACAAAATTTGAGTGCAGTTGTTGAATTTATCAGAACGGTTTGACTGGTATTCCAAAAGCGTTTTGGTTTTTTTTTTTTTTGTACTCGAAGAATGCAACTATTGGGTTGCTTTTATTAAACCAAAAAGGCATTTTAAATTAGCAAAACAGTCATATCAGACGTAACTTAAAAGGCAAACAAAAACAGTAACTTTTGTAAAACTATGTACCTAATTAGACGATTATTTTAATTTCTTTAAAACTATATTATGTTGTATCTCTTTGCGATAATATTATTAAAGCCATCAAAAGAATTACTTTTCTTTTGGATCAAACTATGTGAGAATATTTTTTCTGCTATTAACTGCACCATTTTTTTCTGCACTTGACAAGAAAAAAGTATTCTATGATTGCTAAGCTCAGCTTTTAACAAACATCTCCTTTGATTTGAAAAACATGTGAGTTCATAACTTTATTGGTTTTCTTTGTCACCGGCTGAGTTTATCTATTTAGACAACTGCATGGTTTGAAAAGAAAAATTACTGCACGCTCCTAATTGATAGAAAAGCCGTCTTTGAGTAATCGTAATGATCAACAAAAAATTAAAACTCAAATTGCATTATTTATGGTACGCATTTTGATTCGGAATATGAAGAAGAAGAAAATGAACGAGTATTAAGCTTGGAGGATGAGCCGCTGAGCAAGAATTAAACACAAAAAAGAAATTTGTTTTAAATTTAATTTTCAAAATTAAACAGTTTGCTTGTTTTAAGAAGTTGTAGACTAAGCTTTACTTTCTGCTATTTCTGGCGTTCCGATACACATCTATTCCAGTGCTAATATTTCCTTTTTTTCTTGGAGATATCAATGACAAAGTTATTTCTCAGAACAATTGAGGAGAATCAAGTGAACTATAAGATTTAATTTTAATGAAGGGAAAAAGAACTGAATACTGTAGAAGAGAAGTGGTTTAGCGGATGATTTTTAGCTTTTCTTTGAAAAACTAACTGGTTTGTAACTTACCAATTTGTAACATTTTTCATCAACATAGAACCAGTTGAATGGGCATGGAGATCTGCCTAGAAAGACCTCTTCAGACACATTTTTTACCTTCAATCAACATTCACCTCACTTTTAAAAATTTGTTGTACTTCTTTTTATATGTTAAGGCACATATATTTACTTTATAATCAAGTCTTACCTGCTATGATTTCACATTCTGTTAGAAGTTTATTTTTTTAAGAAATTTTATTTAGTACGTTTAGCTCAGTAGTCGTGAATATTGTGCAGTTTATTGGCATTCTATTCTTAATCTAGGTTCTAACCGTTTTTGCAGTCTAAATTAGGTTTCTAACGTTTAACGTTTTTATAACGTTTCTCAAGTTGTATTGCAACTTTTCTCAAATTGTGTTGATAATAGCAGCGAAGCTGATCAGCTTAGG